GTGTTTTGATGGATTGTCTCGCCTTTTTTTTTTTTGGGGTCCAGTAGTGGGCCTGAACTCTGGGCCTGGGCACTGCCCCTCAGCTCTTCAGCTCAAGGCTAGCGCTCCACCACTTGAGCCACAGCGCCACTTACGGCTTTTTTTTTTCTGCTCATGTGGTGCTGAGGAATCAAACCCAGGGCCTCATGCATGCAAGGAAAGTGCTCTACCACTGAGCCACCTTCTGTCTCGCTCTTTAGAGGTCATAATTTTGTGTGTAAGATCCACCAGGAAAGGCCCCTGTGCAGATGCACCCCCCTTATTGTCTCTGCATAGTACTGTGTTACCTAGGTACCTAGCACACCTAAAGGAAGTTACCACCTCCCTCTCTGAGGTCACATCCTGGACCACTACATCATACCTCCTTTGGGCTGTGGGAGGGTCACAGGCTCTGAGGTCACATCCACATCCTGTGTAGCCACACCTTCTCTCCTGAGGCCATACCTTCCCCCCCACACACACACACACACTCCACACACATATTCACCTGGCCACACCTCCTCTCCACCCCTTCCCTAGTTAAACCAGCCCTGGAGCCACTGGCCCCTTCTGCACCATCTTGCATGCATCTCTAACCTATGCCTGGGGCCCTGTAGTTCAAAATATGTTTCTCTTTCTGTCTGAAGACCTAATTAAAATATAACCCTGTGGTCTGTTGTTCTAATTGTATTTACTCTTGTACCATGTGATAATTTGCCCTGACTCTCAAGTTCCACCTGTGTCCACTGTCAATTTCTGTTGAGTTTTTTGGCCATAAACCGTACTTGACTTTGAGCTATAGCTCCACTTCCGATTTTCTGGTGATTAATTGGAGACTAGTCTCACTGTCTTTCTTACTCAGCTGGCTTTTTTTTTTTTTTTTTTGTCGGTCATGACTTGAACTCTGGGCTTGGGTGCTGTCCCTGCGCTCTTCAGCTCAAGGCAAGCGCTCTACCGCTTGAGCCACATCCCACTTCCGTTTTTCTAGTGGTTTACTGGAGATAGTCTCACGGACTTTCCTTCCCCAGGCTGACTTTGAACTGTGATCCTCAGATCTCAGCCTCCTGAGTAGCTAGGTTACAGGTATGACTCACCAGCACCTGGCTAGTTTTTTGGTGTGTGTGTGTGTGTGTGTTTCTCTGGTTCCTGCCACAATCCAAAGAATAAATTCAAAATTGGGTAAAGAGCAACTGCTATGTGGCTGCTCTTCCTCTTTCATGGAATTTACTGAATTATCCAGGTTTTTGGTGACTAACTAGAGCTAAGAGTCTCATGACTTTCCTATCTGGGCTCACTTCAAACAAAGATCCTCAGATCTCAGACTCCTGAATAGCATATTACAAGTGTTCGCTACCAGCACCCAGCTGGGGTATTTTTTTTTTCAATTTTATGCTAGTTAACATATCTCATCTAATTGAGGATATTAATGTTTTTAAAAGACATACTTTATCTACCATTGAAATTATACTGCCAGCTGGGTGCTGGTGGCTCATGCCCATAATTCTAGCTACTCAGGAGGCTGAGCTTTAAGGACTGCAGTTCAGACTCTTATCTCCTGTTAAACCATCAGAAAACCAGAAGTGTTACTGTGGCTCAAGTAATAGAACTAGCCTTGAGCAAAAAAGCTCAGGAACAGCACCAAGACCCTAAATTCTAGCCCCAGGACCAGAACACACACACACACACACAAATTACTTATATTCAAAGTACAGCAAAGCCAGACAGATTGTGGGTTAGGGAAGAGAAGGGGAGGGGGCGGGGGACACAATAATTAATGGGAGAAATTCAATTAAAGACAGGTTACAATAGGCTTGGTGTCCCTAACAACTCAATAAACTGAAATTCCAAGAATCAAGGTTCAAAATCAGTCCAGGCAGAAAAGTCCACAAGGTTCCATCTCCAAAACAATCAGCAAAAAGCCAATGGGCTCAGGAGGCTGAGATCTGAGAATTGCAGTTTGAAGCCAGCCCTGGCAGGAAATTCCATGAGACTATTCAAAAAAGCCAAAAGTGGCACTGTGGCTCAAGTGGCAGAGCACTAGCCTTGAACACAGAGAGGCTCAGGGACAGAGTCCAGGCTCTGAGTTCAAGCCCCAGGACTGGCCAAACACAAAAGTAAAACTGCCAGTATGGCTCAAGTGATAGAGTGACAGTTAAGCCAAGTGCAAGGCTTCCAGTTCAAACCCTAGCACCAACAACAAAATATTGACAGTCATCAGATACAAAAAGGCAAATAAGCACATGTATGATGCTAGATATTATTTAATGAAAGGAAAGCAAATTGAAACAATGAGCTTGCATTATATATCCCAAAATGACAGAATTATTTTTGCAATGCTGAGTATAAAACCCAGCGCTTTGCCTGGCATCAGTGGTTCACACCTGTAATACTAGCCAGTCAATAGGCTGAGATCTGAGAATTGCAGTTCCCTGGCAGGAAAGTCTATAAGATTCTTTTTTTTTTTTTTGGGTCCGGTCGTGGGGCCTGAACTCTGGGCCTGGCTGCTGTCCCTCAGCTCTTCAGCTCAAGGCTAGCACTCTAACCACTGGAGCAACAGCACCACTTCTGGCTTTTTTCTTTTTGCTTATGTGGTGCTGAGTAATCGAACCCAGGGCCTCAGGCATGCAAGGCAAGTGCTCTACCACTGAGCCACCTTCCCAGCCCAAGTCTATGAGATTCTTATTTCCAATTAACCATCAGAAAGCGGGAAGTGAATCTGTGGCCAAAAAAAACAAAAAAAATCCCAGGAACAATGCCCAAGCCCTGAGTTCATGCTCCAGGACTGGCAAAAATAAATAAAAAATAGGGGCTGGGAAGGTGGCTCAGTGGTAGAGTGCTTACCTAGCATACATGAGGCCCTGGGTTCGATTCCTCAGCACCACATAAATAGAAAAAGCCGAAAGTGGCGCTGTGGCCCAGAGTTCAGGCCCCACAACTGACACTAAATAAATAAATAATAAAGATATCCCTCAAGCATGCTCTATTACTGAGCTAGACCACAATTCCAAACTCCTTAAAATGTGTATATACAATAATACATTATAATGTACACACAATGTGTAATATATATCATATACAGATGCACTACATATCAATTATTTGCCGGTATTAGTGGCTCATGCCTGTTATCCTACTTAAGACAGAAGGCCTAACATAGGCAGATCTCAGCCCAGTAGCACACCCAACTAGATAGTATCTCAAAAATAACAAGCATAAAAAACATCTGGAAGTTGTAGCTGAGTGGTAAAGCCCTTAGCAGGCAAGCACAAGGTCTTGTGTCCAAATCCCAGTACAGCAAAAAAAAAAAAAAACTCACAATTTTTAATCAACATTAATTACTTTATTACCACCAAAAATGAATCTTTTCATTTTGAGAGAAAACAAAGAGCTTTATGTACATACATGGTAGGGTGACTGTCTGAGATCCTTATGTAGCCATAATCTAACTTCAGACAACTTTGCAACCTCCCTACCAGCCCAGAAGCACCAAGGTACCCTCATCAAAAGGGTAAAGTCAGAGAGACAAACACATGAGACTCTTTATTCAACAGCAGCTCCCTCTTAAGGGCATGTATTTCCTCCTGTTCTACTTCACCCCTTTCCCACACAGCCTTTGTAGGCTACAGCCTTGTACAAGAAAAGAGCATCTTTCTAGATATACTTATATACCACTTTTGAGGGCACAGTTTGGAGGTGGAGTCGCACAGGACACTTGTAAAAGTGAGACAGCAGAGTCTCGCTGTAGCCTATGAGGAAGTAGAACTTGTGTGCTGGCAGCTGCCTGAGGACCAGAGCACAGATCTCCACTTGATTGACACGGCGCTTCAGGACTATCTGGTCGGCCAGGCACCCTGGGAAGGTACCTAGCATGAACTTGCGAAGGAAAACATCCTCCACTGTTCGCTCTGCAGCGTGGTCCTCCCCATCTAGATTACCTGAAGAGATGGGACGGCACAGTCAAATCTTGTTGTCCAGGGAGCTGCCAAGACATCCAAGAGGACTGGGGCCCTCAAGGTCCCAAGCACCTTCTCTTTTCTTTTACTAATAGAACACTTTAAAGTTTGAAGTACAGTGTCTCATTAATTCCTAAGCACATCCTGCAGGGAACAAAATGGAAATGACACAACATCTGTCCCTTTTCAGTCTTTCTTGTTGTTTTATAAAAACACAAGTCATCCCCTGCGTCAAATAAGATAACTACCTTTGAAATTAGGGGCATTAGTTTTTCATGAACCAGGGCCATAGCTTCTACCAATATTCTTAGTGTGTTGTTGGGATTCTGATATCTAAAGCCCCTGCAGGATGTGTCAAGAGTCTCCACATCCAGGAATTCAGAACAAGAACATGAAGTGACAGGCTGAGAACCAAAGCTACATAGATGTACATGTGCATTCTTTAGTGAAGCTGGGGGTCAAACCATGTTTTAAACAAGTTCCCTAAAGCCAGGCCAGGCATCAGTGGCTCATGCCTGTAATCTACTCAGGAGGCTGAGATCTGAGGATACTGCTTCATAGCCAGCTGGGGGAGGAATCTATGAAACTCTGCTCCAGTGAACCACCAAAAAAAAAAAAAAACCTTGCAAGCAAGCTAGGTAGTTTCCTAGCTTTGAGCAAAAAAGGTCAGGTGCAGCACCCAGCCCCAGGACAGACACACATGCACACACACCACACAACACACATACACATAGATATGCACACACACCTGAAAAATATGGACTCAAAGAATGAGAACTGACATGCATGCTGGTAGAAAAGATTGCCTTGGTGGAATTGTGCTGTATTCACCGTGCCTTGACTTACTTAGGGCACACTTTTCCAAGTTGTAATTGCCTCTGAGCCATTTTATATTCTGGTAGGTTACAAATGACCAACAGCAATGCAAAGTTCTGTCTGCAGAGGGTCAGTAATTTATTTTCAGTGGACTTTCCGAGGAGTCCCTGATACCCACGGAAAAAGCCGGCTTTGCATTCACGTGAAATTTCATTCCAACATCCTGACGGGCCCGTGCTTGCTTCCTACTTCTTGGAGCAGGCTTAACAGAATACTAGTTCTACCCTGAAGAACATGACTTGTGCTCACTCGGGCTGCGTGGCAATCAGCCCGAGGGTCGGTCCTGCGGCGCCAAGAGCCCTCACCTGTGTGCAGGGACAGCCAGCCCTTGCGGTGGGCGATATGGTGCGGGGCGTGCGCCTCCTCGTAGCTCACCGGCTTGTCCCCTTTGCCCACGCGGACTCGCGCAGCGCGGTTCTGAGAGCAAAGGGACAGTCACTGGACAGAGGTCACCCGCGACCCGCACGGCTGCCGCCGCCATCCTCCCCACAGGCCCCGCCCCCGCCGCCATCCTCCCTCCAGGCCCCGCCCCGCTGCCATCCTCCCCCCAGGCCCCGCCCCCGCCGCGCATTTTCCCCCCCCCCTCCCCCAGGCCCAGCCCCCGCTTCACCTTGGCGCAGACTACGGAGGTGTGGAAGGCGCTCCAGTTGGAAGGCAGCTCCCAGTTCCAGAGCAGCACCTGTAGGGGAGGGGCGTGAGAAGGAAACCCAGAAGCCAGGCCGACTCCGCATGCCGTAAGGCCCACTCACCCGCCTCCCCACACGCTGCAGGCATACGGACGCCGACATCTTGGCCCAGCGGGGCGCGGGAGGAACTACGGCACTGCTAGAGTGGGACTCGGACGAGACCAAGATGGACCGCGCGGGGGGGTAGACTCGGAAGAAACCAAGTCGGCCCGCGCGCGGGGGCGGGACCCAACGGGGCGCGGGAGGAACCACTGACAGCTGGCGGGAAAGACTCGGAAGAGACCAAGTCGGCCCGCGCGCGGGGGCCGGACCCAGCGGGGCGCGGGAGGAACCACTGCACAGCAATAGTGGGACTCCGACGAGACCTAGTCGGACTGCGCGGTGGGGGTCGGAAGGAACCGCTGCACAGCAAGCGGGGGAGGGGGAAAGGACTCGGACGAGACCAAGTCGGCCCGCGCGCGGGGGAGCGGCTCGAGTTCCTGCCGCGGTTTCTTGCGGCGATTTCAGACCGGGACGCAGACGTGTTTCCCACTCCCACAGCTCCTGTGAGGGCTGTGATGGAGTCCTTAAAAGCAGGGGAAAACGCGTCGACCGGACCCCGGCGGGAGGAAACTGGTGTTTTGCTTGTCTTAGCATTTTGTGTTGTTTCGCTGTCCCCCTGGTGTCACAGGAAACTTCTCCACGAGGTGGGAGACAACGTGGAGAAATTCAGGGGCAGAGTCTGGCACAGAAACGTGTGGGGATATTTCAGAGCCCGGAGTATTCAAGTGGGAGCGTACAGTGTGATTGGTATCCCGCAGTGATCATCGCCGTATGGAACAGTGGGACCCTGGGTGCCCTATTTGCGCGATAAGCGCTGAGCGCTGGATCAGGTGGGTTTGGGGTTGTTTTTTTTCGGTGGGTCGTGGGGCCTGAACTCTGGGCCTGGCCGCTGTCCCTCAGCTCTTCAGCTCAAGGCTAGCGCTCTAGCGCTTGAGCCACAGCGCCACTTCCGGCTTTTTTCTTTTTGCTTATGTGGTGCTGAGGAATCGAACCCAGGGCCTCATGCATGCGAGGCAAGCACTCTACCACTGAGGCAAGCACTCTACCACTGAGCCACCTTCCCAGCCCCCTGGAGTCAGATTCTTATATAACAGTTCTCCCAAAGTTGAGTCTTAGTGCCAGTATCCATACAATGGACTTTAGAAATAGTTAACTGCTTGTTAGATCTGTTAAGATCAAGAGTATTTAATAATCAACAATGGCTGCTGTTGGTTGGGTCAATATGTAAATCGTGTGAAATTGGCAGTATTTGGCTGAGGCCACTACTCACCTGACCATTCTTGCACACCATTCTTGCACCCTGTTCTTTGCTTTGGGAGGGGAACTAGACAATCGTCTATGGAGAAGGAAATGGAAGCAAAGGTGAAAGGTGAGTTGTCTGCAAGGATGTTGGGCAAAGGCAGAGAGCAAAACCACCGCCTCTTGGCTTTAGTTCATTTCCATGACCAAAATTCCAAAAAATCCTTAATAATGATTAGCTGAATGGCATAGTGGTAAAAGGTTGCCTAGCAAGAGACAGTAATTTTTAAAGGCCGTAAACCAGATGCTTATAGGCTCACATTTGTAATCCTAGCTACTCAAGAGGTTTGAGGTTCAAAGCCAGCCTGGGCAGGAAAGGCAGTAAGACTCATCTCTAACCACCAGAAAATTGGAATTGGTACTGTGGCTCAAAGTGGTAGAGAGCTAGCCTTGAGCAGAAGAGCTTAGGGACAGAACCCAGGCCCCAAGTTCAAGCCCCACAACGGGCAAAAAAAGGGGGGGGGAAAGAAGGGGTCTTTTGTCTTCAACTCGCTAAGGATATTTTATTCTTAATTATTCAGATTGACCTACAACTCATCCAAATATTGGTTAAGCAGACAAGAATGCAATATGCTCTGAAATCATAATACCTTGCCATTCTTTTTCCCTTGACTTATAGAATTTGAAATCATTCTCCTTTGGCTTCCTTGCTCAGCTAGTGTTGTACCACTTGTGCTATGCCTCTAGCTCAGCTTTTTGCTGGATAATTGGAAATGGAGTCTCTCCAACTATTCTTCCCAGGCTGGCTTTGAACTATGCTCTTTTGAATCTCAGCCTCCTGAGTAGTTTATAGATGTGAGCCACAAGTACCTGGCATAGAACATTTTTAGGAGTCTTTCACTCCTATTTCTGGTATGGGAAGCAAGAAATTTTTCCCGTCTTGATTTTGTTACACTAAAATGAATCCTTGTTAAACATTTTTTAATCCTCTAAAAGTTTTTCTTCTTTTTTTTTTTTTGTCAGTCGTGGGGCCTGAATTCTGGGCCTGGGCGCTATCCCTCAGCTCTTCAGCTCAAGGCTAGTGCTCTACCACTTGAGCCACAGCACCACTTCCGGCTTCTTTCTTTTTGTTTATGTGGTGCTGAGGAAATCAAACCCAGGGCCTCATGCATGCAAGGAAAGCACTCTACCACTGAGCCACCTCCGCAGCCCAAGTTTTTTCTTCTTAAGATTTCATAAAGTATGATAATTTTGTAGTTCAATAAATTGTATTAATAAAATGTGCTCAAACATAGTGAGCAACAATGGATTTGGCATCTGCACTACCCAGATCCAAATTTTGTGGACCCACTTCTTGGCTGTAGTGTACATGAAGCAATTAACCTGGGCCCAGGTTCCACCATCTGTAAAATGGAGACAAAGGGGGAAAAAATGAAACAGGTTGCAAGCACAATGTAGCTTAGCATGTGTACCATTTCCCCACCCACAAAGAGAAAGAAAAAAAAAGTGGAAATTATACTGCAAAATGCCCCAGCAGAAAGAGCACTTAAAAATGTTTTCTAGGAACAATGGAGGGGGTAACAATGTTCAATAGGAAGTGTACTCATTACCTCACTCATGTAACTGTAACCCTCTGTATAGTATCTTTACAATAAAAAAAAGTAAAATTAAAAAAAAATGTTTTCCAATGGAGGGGCTAACAATGTTCAAGAGGAAGTGTACTCATTACCTCACTCATGTAACTGTAACCCTCTGTATAGTATCTTTACAATAAAAAAAAAATGTTTTCTAGGGCTGGGAAGGTAGCTCAGTGGTAGAGCGCTTGCCTTGCATGCATGAGGCCCTGGGTTCGATTCCTCAGCACTACATAAGCAGAAAAAGGCGGAAGTGGCACTGTGGCCCAAGTCGTAGAGCGTTAGCCTTGAGCTGAAGAGCTGAGGTACAGTGCCCAGGCCCAGAGTTCAGGCCCCACACCGACAAAAAAATTCTAGTGTTTTGGGTTGTCTTTTCTCTTTTTGGATGGGGAGGGAGGGGAATTGGGTTAGGTTATAGGATTTTTTTTCCCTGGTCCTAAGGTTTGAACACAGGGCTCTACCACTTGAGCCACAGCTACACTTTGAGCTTTTCTGAGTAGTTTATTGGCGGTAAGAGTCTCACAGGGACTTTTCTGCCTGGTTTCACTTCAAACCAGGATCCTAAGATCTCAGCTTCCTGAGTAGCTAGGCTTATAGATATGAGCCATCAGTGGCTTGGTTATTGGATTTTTGTAGCTACACATCTTCTTAGATAGATAAACCCTGATCTGAGAAAAAGGGGAAGGGGAAGAGCAGATCCTGGGGTTGAATCCTGAATATAAAAAGCAAAGGTGACAAAGGCAGAGACACCTACTAAGCTGAGGTGAAGGTTGCAGCAGAAGAAAGTGCTGGACAGAGAGGCATGAATATTGTGAGAAACTTAAGTTTCCCTCCACGCAATAGACAGTGGCATAAATCTGTGCTTTCTCTCTTCAAGCCACTTGTCCCTTTAGCCTGAGGTGCCTCCCAGGAGTCCCAAATCAATCTAGGTCTTTCCAAGAATGACAAGGACTATTTCAGTGGCAACATTCCTGTCTTTCAGGTAACCTATTACTTACCCTTTGTTTATACCTTTTTTGTTATCAAAAAGTTTCAGCCAGTTGCTTGATTTGTGAGAGTTATATTGGTATATTTGCATGATTAAAATAATTTAAAATGGTAGTTTTTGTTGTTTTTTTTGTTTTGTTTTTTTGTCTGTCGTGGGGTTTGAACCCTGGGCCTACACGCTGTCCCTGAGCTCTTCAGCTCAAGGCTAGCATTCTACCACTTGAGCCACAGCTCCACTTCTGGTTTTCTGGTGGTTGGAGATAAGTCTTGGAGCCTCAGGTACTTTCTGCCAGGGCTGGCTTTGAACTGGCTTTGAACTAGGATTATAGGCATGAGCCTCCAGCGCCTGGCTAATATGGTAGTTTTGTTGTTGTTGTTGTTGTTGTTTTGTCAGTCTTGGGGCCTGAACTCTGGGCCTGCGTGCTGTCTCTCAACTCTTCAGCTCAAGGCTAGCGCTCTACCACTTGAGCCACAGCTCTACTTCCAATTTTTAGGACATGAGTCTCACTGCCTTTCCTGGCTTTGAACTGTGAGCCTCAGATTTTAGCCTCCTGGGTAGCTAGGATTTCAGGTGTGAGTCACCAATGCCTGCTTTTGCTGAAGGTATTTTTGAGATTTTCCCCCATCCCTAGGCTATTTTCCACTATACACCTACTTTATGAGTTGAGAGAGGGGTCTTACTTTTCCCCTGGGCTGACTTTGAACCATAATCCTCTCAAATCTTCACCTCCCAAATAGCCAGAATTACAAGTGTGATCTACCATGCCAGACTACCAATGGGGAGGGGGAGTATTGTGCTGGTCCTGGGTCTTGAACTCAAGGCCTGGGTGCAGTCCCTGAGCTTTTTTGCTCAAGGTTAGTGCTCTACCACTTGAGCCACAACTTCACTTCCAGCTTTTTGGTGGTTAATTGGAAATAAGAGTCTCACAGACCTTTCTGCCTGGGCTGGCCTCAAACAGTGGTCTTCAGATCTCAGCCCCCTGAGTAGCTAGGATTATAGGCGTGTGAACCACTGGTGCTCCATTTTTATTTATTTATTTATTTGGTCCAGTCGTGGGGCCTGAACTCTGGGCCTGGGCACTGTCTCTCAGCTCTTCAGCTCAAGGTGAGCGCTCTACCAACTTGAGCCACAGTGCCACTTCCAGCTTTTTTTTTTTGCTTATGTGATGCTGAAGAATCGAACCCAGGGCCTCTTGCATGAAAGGCAAGCGCTCTACCACTGAGCCACCTTCCTAGCACTGGTGTTCCATTTTGGAAATCTTTTTTTTTGGGGGGGGGTCCAGTTGTGGGGCCTGAACTCTGGGCCTGGGCACTGTACCTCAGCTCTTCAGTTCAAGGTTAGTGCTTTACCACTTGAGACACAGCGCCACTCCCGGCTTTTTTTTTTCTTCTTATGTGGTGCTGAGGAATCGAACCCAGGGCCTCATGCATGCAAGCCAAGCACTCTACCACTGAGCCACCTTCCCAGCCCTGGAAAATTTTTAATGGGATCATTTTTGTCTTTGTCTTCCGCTTATTGGTGCTTTGATGCATCCTGCTTCTTCCATCCATCCTGCTAAGGAGGCAGTATTTCCAGGAGTTACAGATCAAAAGACAGAGGCTCTAGACTGTAGTGATTATAGAACTTGCAGGTCTGTTTTTTCCAGAGCAAGTGCTCTTCCCAGGTTTGGGGTTCCACTACACCAGTTTGTGAGGTGAGGGTTCAGAGCCATGTTGGGATTGGGGTGGTAACTTGGTCTTTGTGGCTTAGATTTCAACTCACCCTCAGGAAATGCGTGGGTATGGAGTGGCCACACCCAGGAATGAGTCACCCCACATGAATCCCAGAGGCTATTTCCCAAAGCCAACCACTGAAACCTAAATTAAGGGAGGAAGGGGTCTCACACCACAGCATGTACACCCAGTGAGCTACCCTGCCTCCTCTCACCTTGTTCTCATTCATGCTCTCTCTCTTCCCCTCTCCCCTCTCACAGTCTGGAGACAGTGGGCTAAGTGTGTGTTAGGACCAAACTAATTACTGACTCTAAGTTTGGGACCCTGAGAACATCAGAGTGGAGAGCAATTAGAAGGGCCAAGTGCCACACTATGACCCTGTGCTAAATGTCAGAACCCAAAGGTCCCAAAACTGGACCTAGGGGATTACCCTCCCTTAAGATAGGATGCAGCTAAGGATGCAGCTCAGGCCTGCCTAATATGCACAGGCAACCTAGATTTGGTTGCTAGAACCACAAGAGAAAAATGGAAGAAATAGGTTCTTGAAGCTGTGTTCTTTTTTTTTTTTTTTTTGGGTCCGGTTGTGGGCCTGAACTCGGCCTGGGCCCTGTCCCTCAGCTCTTCAGCTCAAGGCTAGCACTCTACCACTTGAGCCACAGCGCCACTTCCGGCTTTTTTCTTTTTGCTTATGTGGTGCTGAGGAATCGAACCCAGGGCCTCGAGCATGCAAGGCAAGCACTCTACCACTGAGCCACCTTCCCAGCCCAAGCTGTGTTAATTCTTGACATAAAAGGAAGCTTGGGTGGAGACAAAAGGTAAGGACCAAGCTGAGAATGTAGCTTAGTGGTAGAGTGCTTGCCTAGCATGTATGAAGCCCTGGGTTCAATACCTCAGTACCACATAAAAAAAGCCAGAAGTGGCACTGTGGCTCAAGTAGTAGAGCACTAGCCTTGAACGAAAGAATTTCAGGGACAATGCCCAGGCCCTGAGTTCAATCCCCAGGACTGGCATACACATACACACACAAAAAAATGTAGTAAGGACCTAGAAGGATACAGAAAGGCTGTGACTCTCAAGTGACATGAGGTTAAGTGGCCTCACGGGCTCAGAGAGGTACCTGCCATACAAAATCAGGGCTAGCCAGGCAGGAGAAGGCACCATCAGACAACAGCATGGTAGAAGCCATGTATTCCAGAGTGTGGCTGCCACGGGCTGAGGGTTGAAAATCCTGAGCCACAGATAGGATCATTAACATCAAGGTCAGCTTGGCTCTTTTCAGCAGTCCTCATTCATCAGTGCTCATAAAACTGTACTCTAATGTAATTTTGCTGGTCTTAGAGGAACCCATGTTGACTAATATTATTAGACTCGAGAGAAAGGATTTTTTCTTTCCTGGGTTCATTCATCACCTGAGGAGTTGGCATAATTACAGTTCATATTACATCATTGTAGACTTCCCAGTACCAGCTTTGCTAAGCATATTTCAACAAATCTAAGATAACATCAGCTACCAGACACTTGTAAAGAGGCAGGCCAGTGCTCACTCCTGTAATCCCAGCTACTGAAGATGCTGAGATCCGAGGATCAAGACTTGAAGCTAGCCCAGGCAGGAAATTCCATGAAACTCCTATCTCGTTATTCAGCAAAAAGCCAGAAGTGAATCGAGTGGTAGAGTGCCAGATAGCCTTGAGTGAACAGCTAAAGGACAGCACCCAAGCCACTGAGTTTATGTCCCAGTACCAACACTCACATAAAAGGTTCTAGACCAAGGGGCTGGGAAGGTGGCTCAGTGGTAGAGCTCTTGCCTTGCAGGCATAAGGCCCTGGGTTCGATTCCTCAGCACCACATAAGAAAAAAAGCCAGAAGTGGTGCTGTGGCTTAAGTGGTAGAGTGCTAGCCTTGAGCTGAAGAGCTGAGGGACAGTGCCCAGGCCCAGAGTTCAGGCCCCATGACCAAACCTACCCCCCCAAAAAAAGGTTCTAGACATGAAGGCAGGAGAGTGCCCTAGAGCTGAGGCTGGTGAAAGGACCAGGAATGGATTAGTCACTCTGACTACCTCCTAGGGGGAAAGGCTTGGTTTTTCTTGAAGTCAAGAAACAGGAGATAAGTGGATCCAAAAAATGAGGTACCTATACACAATGGAATTTTATATGGCAATTAGAAACAATAATGTCATTTGCAGGGAAATGAATGGAACTAGAACAATTCATGTTAAATGAGGTAAGCCAACCTCAGAGAGACAAATGGTGCGTGGTTTTTCTCATATGTAGAAGCTAGATCTAAAAATACACTGGGACATGAAAAATTATACAAGACTTTAGGCAATCACATAGAGTGAGAATAAAGGAGGATACTCTTAGAGGAAGAACCCAAAGGTGCAAAGCCTATGTGCATTTGATCATATAAAGTGATATATTGAAATAAACTTTAAAACAAAAAACCAGCTGGGCGCCGGTGGGTGGCTCACACCTGCAATTATAGATACTCAAGAGGCTGAGATCTGAGGATTACGGTTCAAAGCCAGCCCGGATAGGCAAGTCCCCCGGAGACTTTTATCTCCAATTAACCACTCAGAAAACTAGAAGTGCCACAGTGGCTCAAGTGGTTGAGCTCTGGCCTTGAGCTGAAGAGCTCAGGGAGAGTGCCCAGGTCCCGAATTCAAACCCCAAGACAGATCAAAAAGCCCAGGGCCGATTGCTCACAGCTGTAATCCTAGCTACTCAGGAGGCTGAGATCTGAGGATCACCGTTCAAAGCCAGTCTGGGCAAGAAAGTCTATGAGACTCTTATCTCCAATAAACCACCAGAAAACCAGAAGTGGAACTGTGGCTCAAGTTTTAGAGTTCTAGCCTTGAGCTAAAGAACTCAGGGACAGCCCCTAGGCCCAGAGTTCAAGCCCCACAACCAATTAAATAAGTAAATAAATAGATAAATAGGATAAAATAATGTCATTCACAGGAAAATGGTTGGAACTAGAACAAATCATGTTGAGTGAGGTAAGCCAGTATCAGAGTGACCTTTTCTCCGTGATATACAAAGTTCAATTTTAAAACACAACAGAATATGACAAGTTATATAGGATTCTAAACACTCACATATAGTGAGAGCAAAAGAGGAGAGTCTTAGGAGAAAATTGCCAAGTAGTAACACCCAAGCACGTCTTCATATGTATATAAATAATATACATACTGAAAGGAACTCCAAAGATAAGGGGGAAAAGGCCGATAATTTGTCTTTTCATTTTCTGATTACTCTCTTTTTGTTCGGTCATGGGACTTGGACTCTGGGCGTGGGTGCTATCTTCAGCGCTTCAGCTCAAGGCAAGTGGTCTACCACTTGAGCCACAATGCCACTTCCAGTTTTCTGGTGGTTAACTGGAGATAAAAGTCTCATAGACTTTCCTGTCTGAGCTGGCTTTGAACTGTGATCCTCAGATCTCAGCCTCCTGAGCAGGATTACAGGCATGAACCACCAGTGTTCTTTACCTTATATACAGTGTACACACATGCACATCTAAAGGAAGGTCAGGGGAGGACACAGTGGAAACCAGGAGAAAAAGTGTAGCAGGGGAACCCAATGACTATACTAGACATGGATAAAAATGAACCAGGCAACTTGTGGGCAGAGATGGGAGGGAGGGAATGGGACAGAATGAGGCAACAGGTATTATGCAAAAGGAAGGAAATATACTTACTGCCTGATAAAGGTAAAGGTTACCTCACTGTATATCACCTCTAAAACAACAATCAAGTAATTAATAATAAAATTCAAAAAGGAGCAGGCCCAAGTGGGTGAGTACACAGCCCCTCAGACCAAATTCTTCCATACAGGTGGCTTCCATCCTGGGGCTTCCTTCCATCAGCTACAAAATGGGGCCATGGTGCAGATACGTGTGTTACTGTGAATACATTTAGCTGTTTCCTGGTATCCATGGTAATTGTCAAAAGAATGGCTTTTAATGGAAATGGCCGCATTTTTTTTTGCAATACTTGAACCCAGGACCTCAAGCATGCTAGGTAAGTACTCTATCACTTGAGCCACACATCCTTACTTTTTTTTGTTTTGTCAGTCGTGGTGCTTGAACTGTGGGCCTGGGCACTGCCCCTGAACTCCAGCTCAAGGCGAGCACTCTACCAGTGCCTCTTCCCGTTTTCTGGTGGTTTATTGGAGATAAGTCTTATGGACTTTTCTGCCCAGGCTGGCTTTGAACTGCAATTGTCAGATCTCAGCTTCCTGAGTAGCTAGGAATACAAGCTTGAGCCACCAGTACCCGGCTCTTACCTTTGCATTTTTGTTGTGTTTTTTGTTGTTGTTGTTGTTGTTTTAATTTGAGACAGAATCCCAGTGTGCCACCATGTTGGGCAGAGTATCACACTGTTTGCACAAGTCTCCAGATCCCTCCTAGGACAACATCCTGAGCACACAGGGCAATGAAAGTTTAGAGACATGGAACCTGCACACTACTGTTACGTAAGTATTCATACACTTCATTCATTGAACAAACATTTATTAAGCGCCTACATGTGCCAGATCCTAGGGACACAGAGCTAGATGATGTTCAATCCCTGCCCTCAAGGAGCTCACAGTCTGGGGCAGACAGTAAACACACAAGTGATAACGCGCCATGAAGTTCTGAGGCAGAGGTATGACAGTGCTGGGACACAACAGGATGACCGGTGAATGCTTTCTGGGCAAGGGTCAGGGAGGGCTTCACAGACCAGTCCCAAAACACAGTGCCATGGCAATGTCTTGCACATTGTGGGCAGTTGCACTACCAAAACCTTGACTACTAATTTACCAAGGGTCCTTGGGTTGGGTGTCCCCTGTCTCAGGACAAACCCTAATGTGCACTGGATATGTACCTTCCAGCCAGGTCCTGCAGTGACTAAAGAAGCTATTCCCCACTCCAGAAGCCAAGAGGGCCAACCCGCTGAGCCCTGATAGGGCCTGCCTATTGTCACCCCATCTAGGACCTTTGATACTCCTGATGTTTCTGAGCTGGTCTATGAGGTTACTTCTTTGCTTAATACTATAAGAAGACTCCTAATCCATTTCATTGCTCTTCCTTCTCACATGCAGCAAATACCAGCCATCTCTCTGGTACCTGGCACAGCCCTGTTGGCCTTGTCAGACCAGGCTGCTGCCATGGGGCCCACACCCACTCACGGCCGCCGCACCAGCTCAATGAGCTGTTGAATGTTTTTGTTTTGGTTAGACAGGCCATTCCTGATGTTTTCTAGCAGGCATCTCTTCAATTCAAAAATGGCTTCACTGTACCCTAGGCTCACAGCAGCCATGGGCGGGGCCCCATGCCATAGGGCTGGGACATGCCACACATGCTGTCTCTCGGGGTTGCAGAAGGCCATGCCCGCCAGTGTCCGAAAGCTACAACCCTGCTTCTCCATCTGGGCAGCGGCTCTGCTCAGATCACTAGGTGGATCCAGGAGCTGCCTCCTGTCTCTAGGCTTGGGGCTGGGGACAGACATGTCATGAAGGTTCTGGTACACAAATTGATAGTTAGGCATGTGCCCTGTTTTTTCCAACCTCACAAACGCATGCAGAATAGCTGGCGGCATGTCCTTTGTTTCAGCTAAACTGACCACAGTGACATTGCTTAGCCCCATTAGCAGTGTGGCCAAGGAAGCCTCCAGCTCAAATCTATCCCCCGAAGAGGCTGAGGCCCCCCCAATCAGCCCTCCAGAGTCTATCACCAGAATATGGTCACAGCCAAGATCCTGGCTGAAGCCCTCTGCCACCGTGATGAGCTGCATGAAGGCGCCCCGAGGACTACAGCTCCTCCCTGTGGCAAAGCGCAGGCCAAACATGGTGTTGAGAAGTGTGGATTTCCCTGTGCCTGGAACCCCCAGGGAGGACAGAACGACCAGCCGGGACCTCCTGTCCAGATGGACATGCAGCTCCTTGAGGAGCCCAGTGACCCAGCGGACAGGGATACTCAGGGTGCCTCCATCAACCAGCTCCAAGGGTTGCCCTATCAGTAGCAGCTCCACAGCTAGGCCTGGAAAGTGTGCAAAACGCCTCTGGCCAGCCAGCAGCCTCCCTGCTTCTACAAGGCAGCTCTCAGCCTCATAAAACTGCCCCATCTCCCGAAGGAAGTGCTCCACTCCCAGGGGCTCAGGCCAAAGCTGCTCACTAAAATCGGAGGCCCCACCAAGCTTTGGTCTCAAGGTAAGGAATGTCTCCGGGGGCTGCCTTGGCCGGGGCTGGCCCACTCGTGCCAAGCCCCATTCCATCCACCTCAGGAAGTACTGCCTTTCGCTGGGGGAGGAGCTGCTGATCCCAGCGATGAACTCCTGCACCCCAGAGGCAGGATCCTGGCCATTCTGCTGCATTCTGAGCTCCAGAAACCGCCGCCTCAGCTCAGCTCGGTGTTTCTCGGGTGGGTCTGCAGCCCACTGGAGCTGGCACAACTCCCTCTCCACTTGGGCTGCCTTCCTCCCAGGATCCCCCTGCAGCCTCAGTTCGTCCCTCCTGTAGACATCCACGTCCTTGATCTTCCTAGTGATTTTCTCCATCCGGTCCTTTGCCTTCTGACACTCCTCACAGTCCTCATCGACTCTGAGGCCCAATTTACGGGCAGCATGGGCCATTTCCTCCACTGATATCCTCCTGCAGGGCGACCGAGCTACACTGCTCATGATCGCTCGGATCCTCTTCACAAAGCTCTCACTGTCTGTGCTGCTGACCTTCACCAGAACATGCGAGTGGTCTATCTTCAGCACGGGGATCAACTTGTTCAGGAACCGCAGGTTTGTGTTCCTCTTCCCTCGGTACGGACTCAGGATGAAATAGTACTTCGTGCTCGACTCCTTCATGGAGTACAGCAGTTTGTATTCCTTCCTACTGATGTTGTCAGTCAGAATAAACACAGCTGAGGAAACTTCGCTCAAGAACTTAAACTGCAGCCAGTGAGACCCAATGTCACCTCTCAAGTTCAGAAAGGCCATGGGCTCTGGGAAGACATCCAGGTCCTCCCTGCCACTAGGGAAAAACCAGGAAATTTCTACCAATCCATCTGCAATCTCCCGGGGATTCGTACCCAAGTTGAGGTCCCGATGCCAGAAGCAGTCCCACTGCCGGCAACCCGGGCTAAGGATGGCATTGAGCAGTTGGGACTTGGAGTTACTGCTGACATCCATGCGCACAAAAGCAAAAGTGGGCACCCTGGACAGGACCACACTGTCCTCCCGGAAGCTGCCCAGTCCCCGGGGGGGCTGGAACCACCACGTCCGTACAACGCCCCGCAGGGCCCACAGCAGAAAGGTGTGGTAGTGGTTTTCAGAGTCAGGTAACACAAGCGGGAGTGCAAACTGGCAGAGAGACATCTTCAGCATGACCTCTTGCTGTAGAAAGCTATCTGAGGACAGCAGGAGGGCACAGAGGAGGTCCAGGGGGTTCACAGGTGTGTCAGGCGTTGGGAGCTCAGAGAAAGAATAGATGTCATCAGCAGTGATATCCTCAGCTGGGTCCCAGTAGATCATCTCTTCCTCCATTTGGCTCTCCTTCTCTGCAGGCCGCGTGTCCAGAGGGATGTCCAGTACCATCGTGGTGTTTCTGGCTTCAGCATTGAGGGCCTGTAGCTTTCTGAGGAAATGCCAAGGAAGGTCCTTGGGAACCTGAGGGGCCCAGTTCTTCATGCTGTCAAAACTGATCTGCAGTGAGTCCTGAAGACTGAGCTTCTGCTCCTGGTATGTCTCCAGTCCCAACAGGGACAGCATTTCCTGAAGCCTGCTTCTCTCCACTGTGGAAAAAACAGATATGAGTACTTAGCCTCAGTTCCCAAGTCAGGTCCAGAATAGAGCTGGATAGGGAGAAAGGGAGAGCCTAAAGGGAGGGGTTGGAGGGTTCCCCTCATAGTGGAATACAGGCACAGGAGGCTCAGGGAATGTCAAGCTGGCTACAGGGAAGAGAGCAGAACCCTACATCAAGGGGAATATTATTACTGACCCAGATGTGTGTGACATTGAAAACTGGGGGGAAAAATACACACAGGGAAACTGAGAAGCCATATTTAGGATTTAAGCAAGTTCATGAAGACACTGATTTCTAGTTTCTCCAGAAATCTGCAAGATCTGACACTAGCTCACAACTGACTGGAATGTGTAACGGACACCCCCCACTTGCAGAATGCATGCTCCCTCTCTGCTCACAACCCATGCCACAGGGTTATTCCAGTGCTCCTGGTGCTACACACTAACCCAGTACTGAGTTCCCTCAATGTCACCAGGAAGTTCCTGTTCCCTAAGGACACAATCACTATTCATTCTGGTTTCCTAGATTCTTTTTCTTTGCAAATAACTTGGAGATCTTTTAAGGAAAATATGGAGCTGTCACTGATCACAACTCAGCACCATTTTGCACATTTCAGATCAACAACACAAGGCTTTTATGTTTGTGTTTTTATAGTTTTTTGTTTTTGTTTTTATTTTGCTTTCTGTTTTTGGTGGTCTTGAGGCTTGAACTCATGGCCTGGGCTCTTTCCTGGAGCTTTTCTGCTCAAGGCTAGTGTTCTACCCCTTTGAGCCACACCTCCACTTCCAGTTTTCTGGTGGCTAACTGGAGATAAGAGTCTCACTGACTTTCCTGCCAAGGCAGATCTCAGCCTCCTGAATAGCTAGGATGATAGGCATGAGCCATAAGTGCCCAGCAATAATGCAGTTTTTAACTACAATGAAATATTTGCTGTAGACTGTTACTAAGTGAGCACTTTTTGGTGCAGATATTCAAACTTCCCCATGGAAAATTTAAAATCTTACAGGTTGGATGCTCAGAACAGCATTGCTACTTCCAATGTTTCACCTATCACCCTAGATCTTGGCCTGATGTCTTCCCAATTTTCATATGACACATAACTAATTCACTTTTTAAAAATATTAGTGGTGCTTGGGATGGAAGTTTCATTCTAAGCAAATCTACTCCTAAGCTATAAAGTTACTTTCTTACGTTTTCTTTTGAGATGGGGGTGGGTGGTAAGTGAAGGTGGTATCTCCCTACATTGCCCAGTCAGTTCTCCATCTTGTGGGTGGGCAGAATCAATCCTCAAGCTTCCAACTTGCAGGTAATATATAAACCTGTACTATCACAATTAGCTCATAGCTGGATACAGGGCTCAAAATCATACAGCAGAGTATGGGATTGCCCCAGAAGTTACAAGGGACATGAAAACGTGGTGCAAAAACAGAATTATAGGGGCTGGGAAGATGGCTGGGAAGAGCGCTTGCCCTGCATGCATGAAGCCCTGGATTTGATTCCTCAGCACCACATAAGCAAAAAGAAAAAAGCCAGAAGTGGCGCTGTGGCTCAAGTGGTAGAGCAGTAGCCTTCAGTTGAAGAGCTGAGGGACAGCGCCCAGGCCCAGAGTTCAGGCCCCACAACCAGACCCCCAAAAAAACCCAAAAACAAAAAAACAAAACAACAACAACAAAAAAAAACAGAATTATATAGGAAGAATTGCACCATTGAAGAAATATGTGTTAATCAGCCTTTCATAAATGAAACCAGGGGCAATAATTTTTCTTGCCTAGACATAAAACAACTTTTTGTATGAATAGCATGGTAGTAAAAATGATTGAGAAAAGCCAGAAAACAACTCCATTCCTCTATGGGGCCCTTGGGAGATTATTAAGCAATTTTGGGCCAGTCTGCTGATCTGCAGAAGCCCCCAGACTAGATGAAGCATTTCCAAAACTAGTTGTGCTTTAAAATCACTTCATGGCTGGACACCAGTGGCTCATACCTATAACCCTAGCTACTCAGGAGGCTGAGATCTGAGGATCAAGGTTCAAAGCCAGACTGGACAAGAAAGTCTGAGAGACTCTTATCTCTAATTAACCACTAAAAAACTGGAAGTGGCCCTGTGGCTCAAAGTGGTAAAGCACTAGCCTTGAGCAAAAGAGCTCAGTGACAGTTCCCAGGCCCTGAGTTCAAGCCCCAAAACCAAAAGGGGGGGGGACCACTTCAGGACCTTGGTAGAAAGTGCATGGGCTTTATCCCCCACAAAGATGTTAACTCACTATAGGAGGGGATACACTACCAGGGAGGACCTCTAGGTTACTTTATTTAGTTAGTATATAACTATATATATATAGTTTGGATTTTGGTTTGTGTTTGTGTGTGTGTGTGTTGCCACACAATAAATTGTTAAGAAAGGGTAATTGGACTAGGGCAGCTTAGATCTGAGCTCCTTGCCTTTCCAGGTGACTTGATTCAGTCAGGTGTGGGAACTACGCACCTCCCCAGATGATGTCCCCTCCAATAGAATAGGATGCTAGAATAGAGAGATAATGTATACCTGTTGGGAAATCATTATCCTGAGCCTCATTTGTACCATCTACAAGAAAAGCAAAGGAAAAATGAAGTGTTAAAACAATGTTTCTTTGTTTCACACAAAGTAAATTAAACTCAGAACCCTTTTTCTTACCAAAATAGCAATTTCTCTCCATAATTAAAAATAGCAAATCCCAGATATTTTAGCTTTTCTATTCTCCCTAGCCTTCTCCAACTCAATCAAGTTTTTTGGGGTTTTTTTGGGGTTCGGTCGTGGGGCCTGAACTCTGGGCCGGGGCGTTGTCCCTCAGCTCTACAGCTCAAGGCTAGCGCTCTACCACTTGAGCCACAGTGCCACTTCCGGCTTTTTTCTTTTTGCTTATGTGGTGCTGAGGAATCGAACCCAGGACCTCATGCATGCAAAGCAACCATTCTATCACTGAGCCACTGCCACGCTGACCCCAGTGGAGTCTGCTTAGCATGGGAAACCATCTATCAGACCATGATAGGGGCTTCAGAGACCTATCTCTGAGTTTTGGGACTTCACCGAAGTCTACCTCAGAGAATGGGGCTTTACAGAAACCTATCTCCAAGTTTTGGGACTTCACCGAAGTCTACCTCGGAGAATAGGGCTTCTAAGAGGCCTACTCCTGGGAAAAGGCTGGCAAAACCCCTGGAAAAGATGTGTTTCTGCCTATCTTTTCCTCATAAGAGTGCCTATTAATCTTTTACTGTTTCTAATGCTCTTTGTACTTGCTCATTGTCAACGTTTCCCTATACAAAGCTCTTTCTCAAGAGTGTTGACGACTCCAATATCTGATGAGTGTCTTAAAAATATGACTAACTCACCGGAGTTAAGTGCTACCCTGAAACCCCTCTTATGGAGGCTAGTAGACAAGCCATAAGCAAATATAAAAGTATTGGGGGTTTCACGAAGTCACTTCAGCAGAAGGAATTGTTTGTAAGAGACTTACAAGAAGCTGTAGGGCAACTAGAACAGAAGGAATGTATGGCAATTACTGAGATAACTACTTAGGAGAAAAAACTTCCTACTACTCTCTCATTTACTAAGAGACTTGCTAGATCTAAGTCTCCTTGGTGCTTATTATTAAAGAAGGAACAGGAAGGAAAAATCCTATGGGACAATTAAGGCCTCTATAAAAATAAGATAATGGTTAAATGGTGACAAACGTCGAAACCCATTATATTTCTTAGAGATAAGCCGGAAACAAGTGCCTTTCAGGCTACCAGCTGTTGACCACCCAAGAATGAAGCCCTGCAGCAAGATTGTGTAAACTTTTGCCCTTTCAGGCGACCAGCTGGTGACCATCCAAGAACGAAGCCTTGCAGCAAGATTGTGTAACCTTTTGCCCTTTCTTATGGAGACTTTTGTTATAAAAGTTTGCTATTCTCTGCATTAAATCGCACTCAGCACTCAGCATCCACTCCTAATGTGTGTGAGTTGTCTGTTTGCCATCTCCCCATCCTATTCCAGGTTCCTCCCCTAGGTGTCCTCTGAAGTCCCGACAGAACCCGGTCCGCGGCAAGCCACCTTCCCAGCCCTCAATCAAGTTTTAAGTCCCATAGTTTCTACCTCCATAATGAAACCCGCAGTCATCTCCTTCCATTTCTCTCCATTCCAAATCTAGAAAAATAAATAAAACAAGCATTTAGACTTCTCAGCAAGCTAGAGCCTTTCTTTGAAGAAGTTCTAGTATGGACATGAAATGCTCAGGATTTCCATTTCATATTCTCAAACATAACTCAAGTCTAAACAAAATTTTGGAATTTTTTTTAAACTAGGTCTCATTATATAACCTAGGCTGGCCTCAAACTCAAGATCCAATCAGTTTTATTTCCTGAATGCTGACATTATAGGCATGAACCACCATACCCAGAAAAACACATTTCAAATGTTTTGTTTATTCATTCAGAGTCTGTAGGTAATTTAATACTTTTTTTTTAGTGTGCATACATCTACTTATCTACTTTTTTTTTCTTTTTTTTTTTTTTGGTTGTGGGGCTTGAACTCAAGAGCTTGGGTACTTGAGTTTTTTTTGCTCAAGGGTAGCACTCTACCTCTCTACCACTTTGAAGCACAGCACTACTTTCAGTTTTCTGGTGGTTAATTGGAGATAAAGAATCTCACAGACTTTCCTGTCTTGGCTGGTTTTGAACTGTGATCCTCAGAGCTCAGCCTCCTAAGTAGCTAGGATTACAAGTGTGAGCCACCAGTGCCCATATCTACCTACATCTTGATTGTGATCTCTTACATGAAGTCAGGTGTGGAATTTTCCACTGTGGCATCATATCAGTACTCACAAAGTTTCAGATTTTAGAACATTTCAGATTTTTGATTTTCAGATTAATGATGCTCACTCAACCTATAGTTTAGGTTTCAGTTTTGCCTATGTAATTTTTATGTGGTTTTCAACACAAAATAGTAACAAAGTATTTGTAATAGCTTCAAACAAGATAGAGATTTGCTCTATGATATATACCTTGTAGAATTTACTAAGTTTTATGAAAATAAACCTTTTGTGTAGTTTTCAATAGTTGTACAAAGGGTTTCAGTTCAGCAGATTAATAGATGAGTAAAATGCATCTTGATCAAGGTCACACAACTTTACCTGCAATTGCCACAGCGGTTTGTCTCTCTGACGCTTTTATTTCTGAGGTCACTTCTCCCAAATCTGAGTGTCTAAAACAATTTCAAAAGAAAATTATAATTAAAATAATAAACTACCACTTTCCCCTTGGTTGCATATAAAAATCTCTTAGGCCAGATATCGGTGGCTCATGTTTGCAATCCTAGCTACTTAGCAGACTGAAATCTGAGGATTGCAGTTCAAAGCCTGTGCAGTCTAGAAAGTCTGTGAGACTCTTATCTCCAATTAATCAAATAAAAAGAAGTGGAGCTGCAGCTCAAGTGGTAGAATGCTAGCCTTGAGCAAAAATGAGCTCAAGGACAGCGCCCATGCCCAGAGTTCAAGCCCCAGACTGGCAAAAAGGAAAAAATAAAATCTCTTATAGGAGCTTTTAATAACTATGAACTCTTAAGTTATACTCAAGATTCATGAAGCTGCAAGCTGGTCCTAGGTATCTTTCTTCTAAAAGTGCACTCTATAACTCCCATGTACAGCCCAATAGAGAAATTCTAGGCAATTTCAACAATACTAGTACTCACAAAACTTGCTATGACTCCCACGTACAGTATAGCCCAATGGAGAAATTCTGGCAATACCAACAATACCAGTACTCACAAAACCTGCTGGCCAGGGCATACATATAGACATTCAGAAATACGTAAAATATACATACCCTTTGACTAGTAATTCCACTTCTATCCTAAGGAAATAATTAAGATTTTGTTATAAAGTTGTTGATGCCAGCTTTATATAGAATAGCAAAACATTAGATGACTTCTAAAATCAAAGTTCTGCTGGGAGCTGGTGGCTCATGCCTGTAACCCTACCTATTCAGGAAGCTGAGATTTGAGGATCTCACTTCAAAACAAGCACAGGTAAGAAAGACTGTGAGACACTTATCTCCATTTAATCACCAAAACTCAAAGTGGCACGGAGGCTCAAGGTAGTAGAATACTACTCTTGAGCAACAGAGCTAAGGGACAGTGCCCAGGCCCTGAGGTCAAGCCCCACAACTGATAAACCAATCAATCAATCAATCGAAGTCCAATAACAGAATTGTGGTCTTATTTTGCAGCCATTACAAAATATTCTACAGATCTCTTCTTATCAGCAAAATAGTTTTGGATAAAGCATTATGGAAATGTTAGCGGTATGATAATTAGTGAAAGAAAAATTACAAAACAATACATATGGTATAATTACAATATAATAAAACTGTGTGTATTTATCTACAGGCATATATAGAGAAATCTAGAATGAAGTCATCAAAAGTGAGTGTAGAGCTAGTTATGACAGCACACACACATAATCCTAGTGCTCAGAAGGCTATAGGAGTCTCAAGGGCTTTTCTACCAGGGCTGGCTTCAAACCATGATCCTCAGATCTCAGCCTCTTGAGTAGCTAGTATTATAGGTGTGAGCCACTGGCATCCAGCCATTAATCTTCTGTAAGCAAGTGTCCTTTCCCATCTGTTTGCCTACTTATTACCTCTGTGGATTAATTATTTTCTGTTTTCCGGTGATTCTAATTACTGTAATTATATTCATGTCCAAATTGTCCTAGATTTGGCTAGTGGGAACGCATTGAGCTGGTACCTGAATCCTGTGGCATGCCCCAGGACTTTTCAGAGCAGTTCTTTCTTTCTGAACTAAGATGCTAAAGGTCTTCTTGTTCTTTCCCTGCCCCAGCTCTGGCATCAGCCAGCATCTCCAAAGAATCCTTGTTTCTTTTAGCATGGAATGATAAGGTGTATACATTGCTATTGCTGTATCTTTGCTTGTTTTCCTTCTTAGTGGAGAAATTTAGGAAATGGACATGCATACTGACATTTATACACAGAAATAGGCATACATATGTATGCTCTACATGACCATGTATGAAGACATACCCATTCATACCAGTGCCTCTGCAAGGTTTGTAAATTCTATCCTGTATTTATATGTCCACACTTCCACAGTGAGAGCCCTGGTCTCTGACAGATCAACACATTTATTTGTTTCTGCAATATACCAAATACTGTTTTTTTGTTTGTTTGTTTGGGGTACAAGGTCTTGCTGTGTAGCTCAGGCTGGTCTGGAACTCAAGATAATCCTGCCTCAGTCTGTAACAGTAGGTGGAAGGCAGATGTGGACCACCATACAGTTTATTTTTAAACTATAGTTCTTAAAAGAATGTACCTCAGCCAGGTGCTGGTGGCTCTCACCTGTAATCCTAGCTACTCAGGAGGCTGAGATCTGAGGATCACAGTTCAGAGCCAGCCTAGGCAGGAACATCTGTAAGACTCTTATCTCCAATAAACCAGAAAACACGAAGTGGTTCTGTGGCTCAAATGGTAGAGCACTTGCCTTGAGCTGAAGAGCTCAGGGACTGCGCCTAGGCCCAGAGTTCAAGCCCCACAACTGACAAAAAAAAAAGAAAAAGAAGGTACCTTGGTATTAGCTTAGCATGTGTGAGGCCCTAAGTTCCATCCTCAGCACCCCCACACACACACACACAGTACACGCATGCGCGCACGCGCAAGTGTGTAGGATTATGCTCTTTGTCTACATTTTTTTTTTTCTGGTCTGTTGTTGGGCTTAAACTCAGGTCTTGGGTGCTATCCTTGAGCTCTTTTGCTCAAGGCTTTGAGCCTTAGCACCACTTCCGGTTTCTGGTAGTTAATTGGACTTTCCTGCCTGGATTGGCTTTGAACCCATGAACCTCACATCTCAGCCTCCTGAGTATCTAGGATTACAGCATGAGCCACCAGTACCCAGATTTTGTTGTGTGTTGGGATAGAGTCTTGCTATGTAGTTAGTCTAGGCTGGACTTGAAATTTTGATCCTCCTGCCTTAGCCTTCCCTAGGCTATATACTGAGACCCTGTCTCAAAAACAAGCCAAAATCAAAATAAAACACTAGAGGCTGGGAATGTGGCTTAGTAGTAGAATACTTGCCTAGCATGCATGAAGCCCTGGGTTCGATTCCTCAGTACCACATAAACAGAAAAAGTAGAGCTGTGACTCTAGTGGTAGAGTGGTAGCCTTGAGCAAAAAAAAAAAAAGCTCAAGAACAATGCCCAGGCTCTGAGTTCAAGTCCTGGAATGGCAAAACAAAATAAAACGGTAACAGAGGACAAAATTTGCCAGATGAGAACACCTAATAACTTAACTGGATGTAACATTAAAAACCAAAACATATGGAACTGGGAATGTGGCTTAATGGTAGAGTGCTTGCCTAACATTCACAAAGCCCTAGGTTCAATTCCTCAGTACCACATAAACAGAAAAAGCCGGAAGTAGCACTGTGGCTCAAATGGTAGAGTGCTAACCTTGAGCAAAAGAAGCTCAGGGACAGCAACCAGGCCCTGAGTTCAAGCCCCAAGACCAGCAAAAAAATAAATAAATAAGTAAATAAAAAGAACTAAGACAAATGAAAGGTTTCAGAGTCCAAAGGCAAAATGACCGACTGAGGAAAAGTGCCTAAAACAAATGACAGGGGCTCATTTTTCTTGTAGAAGTCTAAAGATCCACAGAAAAAAGTCAAAACTAAGGATGTAGCTAAGTAGTAGAACATATTAGTATGGACAAGGCTCTGGGTTCAATCCCTAGCACTGCAAAAAAAAAAAAAAGCTTAAAGTCAAAACAAATGAAAAACAAAGGATATCTCTAAAGCACATATGGGTTTAAAACAAGGAAAACAAAGGCAGACTGCACTAATAAACTTCCATTTTCTGTATTTTTTTTTCTTTTATTGGTCCTGGGCCTTGAACTCAGGGCCTGGGTGCTGCCCCTGAACTTTTTTATTAAAGCCCAAGGCTAGCACTCTACCACCTGAGCCACAGGCTGGCTTCCAGCATGTTAGCAGTGAATTGAAGATGAGAGTCTCATGGACTACTCACTAGATACTATACTGAAAATGAACTATACAACTTGTGAATGAGGACAGGAAGTATAAACTGGGAGACAGCAAGGGAGAGGGTGACACTGTTCAACAAGAAATGTACTCATCACCTGAGTTATGCAACTAAAACCCCTCTGTACATCTCCTTTACATACAATAACAATAAAAAAAATATAACGGAGAGCTGGCAGCTCACACATGTAATCCTAGCTGTTCAGGAGGCTGAGATTTTAGGATCTTAGGAAATATCTGTAAGACTCTTTTTTTGGGGGGGGGGCCCTGAACTCTGGGCCTGGGCACTATCCCTCACCAATTCAGCTCAAGGCTAGCGCTCTACCATTTGAGCCACAGCGCCACTTCCAGCTTTTTTCTTATGTGGTGCTGAGGAATCGAACTCAGGGCCTCAGGCATGCAAGGCAAGCGCTCTACCACTGAGCTACCTTCCCAGCCCAATCTGCAAGACTATTATTTCCAAATGACCACCAGAAAACCAGAAGTGGCACTGTGGCTCAAGTGGTAGAGCACTCACCTTGAGCTGAAGAGCTGAGGGACAGCACCCAGGCCCAGAGTTCAAGCCCCACAACAAATGAAAGAGAGAAAGAGAGAAGGAAGGAAGGAAAGAAGGAAGGAAGGAAGGAAGGAAGGAAGGAAGGAAGGAAGGAAGGAAAGGGCAGGGAATGTGGCTTAGTGGCAGAGTACTTATCTAGAATGCATGAATCCCTGGACTGAATTCCTAAGTACCACATCACATACACAGAAAAAGTTGGAAGTGGCACTGTGGCTCAAGTGGTAGAATGCTAGCCTTGAGCAAAAGAAGCTCAGGGATAGTGCCCAGGCCCTGAGTTCAAGCTCCAGAACTGCAAAACAAAACAAAACAAAACAGTAGTCCATCATGGTATAATGTCTATAATCCTAGCTACTCTGAAACAAATTACCTGGAGGACTTTAGTTTAATGCTAACCCCAGGCAAAAAAGGTATTCAAGACCCCATTTCAACAAATTAGCAAATTATAGTAATGCTTTCTTGTCATCTCAGCTACATAGGAGGACGTAAGTAGTAGAAGTATTAAGGTCCAAAGCCAGACCTGGGCAAAAACATGAGACCTTATCCAAAAAATAACCTAAAAGCAAAAAAAGGGCTGGGAGTGTGGCTTGAGTGGTAGAAAGAGCTGCGAGTGTGACTTGAGTGATAGAGTACTTGCCTGGAAAGCACCAGAACCATCAAAAAATAAAATATAGTGGTCCCCCTCATCCATAGTTTCTTTCAATAACTTCAGTTACCTGTAGTTAATGATAGCCTAAAAATATTAAATGAAAAATTCCAGATAAGCAATTCCTAAGCTTTAATTTTTCCTGCTGTTCTGAGTAGCATGGTAAGTCTCATGCTATACAAGCCCTTGAGGTATACCCCAGTCACTTACCAGTCCCCTTGATTATCAGAGCTAGTCTTGGTATCACAATCTGTATTCACATAACCTTTATTTTACTAAATCATGGCCCCAGTGTGGACTTTTATTATAGTTTATTATTATAAATGTTCTATAGGCTGGGAAGATGGCTCAGTGGTAGAGCATTTGCCTTGCATGCTTGAGGCCCTTGGTTCAATTCTTTAGCACCACATAAGCAAAAAGAAAAAAGCCGGAAGTGGCGCTGTGGCTCAAGTGGTAGAGCCTTGAGCTGAAAGCTGAGGGACAGCGCCCAGGCCCAGAGTTTAGGCCCCACGACCGGACCCAAAAAAAGAAAAAACAAAAAACAAATAAATGTTCTATTTTATTAGTTGTTATTACACTTTTATGCCTACTTTATAAATTAAACTTTA